GGATGAATGAATCTTAAAATTTTCTCAAAATAATATATTATTCAATGTATTGTATTCATTTGTATTCTCTGTGTAACATATACTTAAACATGAATTGTCAATATTGATGTCTCTCTTTATCGAAAGAACTTTATTCGGTAGTAACCAATATTTGCCCCCAAAATCAAACTTTGATGGAGATATATTTAATTAGGTTCTTAAACAGGGGAGTATATGATGACTTCAAAGCACTGAATATTTTCATAAGTAATGACGCCATATGTACGTAATGACGTCACAAACATGACGTAAATTTCATTTTTTTATGAATTTTACAGAAAAATGTACATATTTCGTCGATATTTTGAGTAAAAGTCACAAAGCGCATGTGTGTTCAGGATCAATATTTTGATATAATGTGTAGAATGATAATATCAATGAAATATGTCAATATTGTTCCTGAACAAACTTGCGCTCTATTAATTTTCAAGCTAAAACTGTTGAAATTTTTTCCATTTTGTCCTCTTTCTGAAAAAGGATATAAAATCGGACTAGTTTGTGACGTCATAAAACAAAAATTGTGCATACACTGCTTTGACACTATTATATTTTCTGTTAAGTTATTTTTCTCATACAATTTATTGAATTCAGCACAAATCAGGAAGTTTTCAAAATTTGACTTTTGTGGGGGCAAAGATATGCGATATACCGCATATAGTTATTTGGAGAAACGAAGCAGATTAAAAATACAATTATAGTGAAAATTATCAATTTATTTCTCGATACGTATATCTGAAATGTTAACAGTGACATGTGTTAAGCTTAATCAAATCTAAAATACAAAGTTTGGAATATTTAAATAGATTCTATATATTTTAGGTTGAGTATTAAAATCATTGTATCAAATTAAAAGGAATTTAAATGCTTGTTTGCTTCTGTATTTTCAGTAAAAAAAAAAATATCTTTTAAAAGGATTTGAATATCATTTTATTTATCCCTTTATTTGTATCTCTTTCTTCTAGCTATCTGACTATCTGTCTCTTAAACATCCGGGGCTTAACGACGGTACCTTGACTAGATAGAAAACACAGTAAAACTTCAATAATTACCATTTATATAACACAAGAGCATATATAAATGTTTTGACAAGTGATATCTCATTGTTCAGGAAAGGTGGATGTGTGTTTCTCTTAGATATTACAAGTGATTTCTAAATTTTATATCATTAAGGGTTGCAACTGCAACGCTTAATGATACACTAGTGTGTATCATTAAGCGTCGAATATGTCGATATTTGCTTGTTGCATTAGGCGTCGGTGTTGCACTGCATTTGTGACGCTTAATGATATAATTCTGTCATTAAGAGGCGATTTAGCATTAGCGGTTGATGATGTCAGCTATTAATGCAATGATTTATGGCATTAAGCCTTACAGTTGCAACGCTTAATATTTGTATCATTAAGCAGCGTTTTATCATTAGAGGTTGCTACAGAGCTGTTAGAGCCAGTAACTATAAGAGCCGTGTTGAAAGGGCTAGTAAACAGAAGAGCCAAGCTGTAAGAGCCAATCGCTTAGGAGCCAGCATCACTTTGATTTATTGTACATAAATGATTAAAGACAAATAGTCTAAACATTTATCTGCTTAATCACATATTTGTATATATATATTTAACCTACCAGGTCCTCAGAAAGTTAACTGAGGGAATTCAGCCGCCTCTGTTGTTTGTTATACTATTATTAGGCTTCACGCCACAAATATATAGTTTAATTTGCACCGTAGAATCCAGATTTAATGTGGAAACTTTAAAATGATGTAGAATTTCATAAAGAAATGCCGAGATCAAAATATGCGCAAAAAGATCAAACCTCCTTAAAAGTCAGAAGGACACAATGAATGAAATATTTAAATCCTTCGTATCTTACGATGTTCTTGAAATTTATTATAGAAATTCATTACTGATGTGCATCCTGGCATAAGTAAATCAAATTACTGAATGTACTGAAAAGCGTTTAGCATGCTTCCATCTAAACATACAAAAAATAATGCAAATGTGATGATAGTAAATTATACATAGCTTTGTCCTGTGAAATCACACATATTGTCAATCTTTCAACAGAGGGCGTATAACATCGAATAATAGATTACAAGTAGCGCTTCCTTGAAGTATTCATTGTCGATAGATACCGCCTTATGGAAGTTTCCAATGGCGATAAATATTGCGTAAAATCTTTGGTAACATGACAAAAAGGGATTACCGTATACTCACAGTACGCTAACCACTTAAAAAAAATAATGGTCTGAATTTTTAGTATTCTAATGTATAAACTTTTTGGGTAGACCTATCTTGACTATGATTTCGTTATCTGCAATCTTACATGGGGTGCGCCTATGTTTCATATTAATTTTTATACAAGTTGCCGGTGGGAAATGCAGTTTTGTGTTTATACTTTTTTCAAAACGTATCTATCATATAATCAGTTTTATGAGATTGAATAAGGCGCTGACGTAAGAGGTAAATGTTTAAATTTCAATTCTCATCTTTCTCGAATTGTTTAAATGATGTCCGCAGTGGTAGAGCGTCTGATCTTGACTCGCGGAGTAAGGAGTTGATTTTTACTTCGCAGGCTCAAATCCCACTGTGGGACATGAAGACTGGTCCCTCAAATGAGACTGTATAAACCGAGGTCCCTTATCGCAGTTGATGCTAGCACAAAAACGAACACAAACATTTGATTTTTTAATCTTAAAATAATAATTGTTGCAATAAAAATCAAAAACCAATAAAAAAAAATCAAAATCCCTAGGGCAGAAATAATGAGAACCAGCCTCTTTAAGACAAACAATTCACTTATAATACATCAATTCAAGGATACATCGAGGTATAAAATAAAACACACAAACCTCTATCGACGAAAAAAGCCCAAAATTTCATTTCACGCAAGAATGCTTTCTGGCAAATTTCGTTGAGATTCACCCACCGGTTCTTTAGAAGATAGAAAAACTAATTCTTTAGAAGAATTTGAGAACTTGAAAAGTTTACATTCACTTTATAAATTACCCAATTTTACCACGATCTGATGATAAACTCTCGAACCCATCTTCAAGCAGTGAAGGAACAGCATGCTACACCGCTAATCACATTTATAGTGTTTATTGACTGTAACTCAAAACTGAACAACGCTCTAAAAAAGCAGAGATAATGGACACACAGGTTTATCTTTATGGTTTCATTAGCATGAACGTAAACCTAGTTCTAAGATAGATAGATATTTATTTGGTATACTACACATACGTTGTGACAATGCAATATTAACGATATGATTTATGATATATATATATATATATATATATATATATATATATATATATATATATATATATATATATATATATATATAAATATACAGGTAACTCTCAAAACCTTGAAGTCCGCGGGACCGAGGAAAAACTTTGAGTGATCAAGAGTTCGAGTTTTCAAGAGTCCGGATTTTTCCGGATTGGTTTGACAGGTTTTAAAATAAGTCATACCGGATGTAATGATTTTCATGCAGTTCTTGCAAAACAACGATATGTTTTCGTATTTTAAGTGAATATTTATTAAAGTGAATAAAAAATGTACATCGTCAGTTCGTGTTTTTAAAAAATGTTTTAAGCATAGTATTACGGATATCATTCTACTCATTCGTTATAAGAAAAAGGCATAGACCAGCGTCGCGTGGTACATAGCATTGTGACTTTTCCAAACATATGCATTGAACGAAATTCTGTATGCATTTGTCCAAAAAAAGTCGTCATATTGACAGCGAGGCTGTTTCTGAATTTTCTTATTTCGTTAAACTTTGAAACTGATTCGAAATAAAAATTTAATTCATGAATTGTTTCGTCTCATATTAAATCTGCAATTACAGTTTCTCAGCGACACTACGTTTCTGAATTATCGTAATACAGACGATGATAATTATTTTGATAGCATATTAATTATAAATCAATTATCAACTTGCAGAATAAGTGTCACCTTAATAAACATCCCTTTTCACGAGACCCGCGTCTTCTGCCTGGGGTCATTAAATGTCCAGGTAAAGTTGCTAATTATGTAACTTTGTACACACATAGCCACTTCGAGGTATCAAGGGTGAATTTCAATAGAATATGCACAGCGGGACTGCAATTTTACTTCGAGAGATCAAGGGTTTCGAGAGATCAAGAGTTAGAGAAATCAAGAGTAAATTTGCTTAGTTATATAGGGAAAAAATTCAGGACCGGAGACTCACTTCGAGCGATCAAGAACTTCGAGAGATCGAAGTTCGAGCCATCAAGAGTTACCTGTATATATATATATATATATATATATATATATATATATATATATATATATATATATATATATATATATATATATATATATATATATATATATATTTATATTTAATTAAATTGTTTAATGCCATCTTTTATATATATATATATATATATATATAAAAAGCACTAAAAAACCAACAACACTGTATATCCTAAATGTCGGATCTACCAAGTAGATACAAGGTCACGGATGGAAATTTATATAAAGCACTAAAAATGACCAACGACACGAACAATAAAAATTGTCAAATTTTCGGGACGCCCTGTCCCTTCCTCAGGACAAAGAAAAAAGTTAAAAAGTCATAAGAACAAAGGAAAAATAGAAACAAAAACAACTAGCACTACTACTAAGCTACTAAACACTAGATATTTACATACTTAATAAATTACATGTTGAATTCGAAATTTTTAAGAACAATAATAAAGAAAGAAATCCGGACCGCTATGAAATGCGTCCGGTCTATCGGGTATACTCGGGTGAAGTGCGATTTACATAATTGAACGAATTAATTATGCTAATTAATTACGACAATCAGTAAATCGTACATTGTTTCATTCTCTCAAAATGGCGTAACTTTACTTAATAAAGAATAATCAAAGAAAAATAAGATGGCAGGGATATTTAAACATATGAATTATGATCCATTATAAATTTTGAAACATTCAAAGACTTATTACCGGGAAAAAATAATTAACAAAGGCGAAAACAATACATAGCTATGTGGGTTGTTCGAGAGTTGGTGACGCAAATTGACTGTAGAGTTTACACTAAATTGAGAGAATAATCTTGTTTAGTATCATCAGGAATTGGGTCTAGTTTACGTTCATTCTGGTGAAGTCATTTAGTTTGTTAATACCATTAGGGCGGAATGACTTCAATCTGTGCATCCAGAACTTTTCTTTGCTTTTTCTCTGAGCATCTGTCCATCTTGGGTTATGGTCAATCACCACTACTGTCATATCCTCCCATTTGTGACCCTCAAGGTTGAAATGTTCCCCAACGGGTTCATTGAGTTTTTTGGTCCTAATGGTCGAACGGTGGTTATTGACTCTCCTGCGGAGATCTCCTGTTTCACCAATATACTGTTTGGAGCAAACTTTGCAACTGATGAGATAAATGCAGTTGTCAGTATGACAGGACAAATTCCCTAGTATTTTGTAGCTGCGGCCTGTAACGGGGCTGTTAAAACTGTCTGTGTCAGTACTGTGCTTACAAAGAAGACATCTTCTGTCAGAGCAAGTTTTAAAGCCCCCGTTAGGTAATGGGTTGTCCAGTCTGGTTCTTACTACCATGTCCTTCAGGTTCCTTGGGCGTCTGTATGCAGCCAATGGGGGTTCCTTAAAGACCTCTGCCATTCGTTTGTTTGAATGGAGAATTGGTAGGTTCTTTTGAAGGATACCGCTAAGGTTCTTAAGGACGGGATGGTATGTGGTTACCAGAGGGACCCTACCGCTATTGTCTTTCTCCTTGTAGCGTAATAGGTTTTGCCTGTCATGTCCTGCCATCTCATCAATAGCTGTTTGTACGGTGCGGGCATTGTAGCCTCTTTTGCATAAGTGGGACTTAAGTGGGACTTCGAATCTTTCGACTTCATACGACTAAAAACTTAAAAGTAGTCTTATCATTTTGGCAATCGTAATTTCCTTTCAAATATGGCTATTAAAGATAACCCAACATTTAAACTTCTAAAGAAAGAACACCAAAAATCGATAAAAACTGAACACCGGGTCTCCAATTTACAGACCTACTTAGAGTGTAACATTATACCGAAAGGCTTTCAGATAAATGTTACACCTAACATAGGGCCAATCTCCAAACGCTTTCAGGAACGCTGGGATGTTATTACAAGGAGATGTTCTAAACAATTGATGTCACTCTGTCTTTCTTTGGATATCCACAAGTTAGGACAATTGAAGAGTGAGATCAAGTCCTTAGAATCATCCCTCAACGATATCATGTCCCAGACCGATCTTGATGAAGCCCATAATATTATAGACACCTATAATATGGCCCTAACCAATAAAGTCAACAAGACTCAAAAAAAGAAATTTCTCCGCGACAGTGTTCCACAGTCTAGGAACAACTGGTCAGAGGTCAGAGTTAACAAGACACGCAAACCCCGCTCGAGACGCTTCAAACGCATTAAGACAATCGCGAGGAACGGACCCATACAAACTCCTGACGTCTGCCCAGTGCTCAATACATCTAGTGCTCCTCTCTCCGAATCGGAGACCTCACTTCTTTCCAAGGGGCTAAATTTCTGCCCCACGCCACATGAGGTCGACGAAAAACAAGTCAGAGAGGACACCCGAGCATTCTTCCGGAGACTTCGTTTGAAGGAGCACTTCTCTAGAAAAGACTCCGAAGTAAATTCATACGACTCTTCCAAGCCAGATTTACAAGATCTAGAGGAACACAAACTCTATAAGCCCAAGAGTGACTGGGAACCTGCACCGGGCAAGTGCGGCGCGCTTGAGTCGTATATTGACGCCGTTGAGTCAGACATAGAGAAGCTCCTTTCAATGCCAGACAAGACTCCCGACAATTTGAGTAAGGAAGAGAGATCTGCCTTACAATCATTAAAAAATCGGGATGACATTGTAATCAAGAAAGCAGACAAAGGTTCTACAGTTGTAGTAATGGATAAAGAGACTTACATGGCGGAGGCCCAAAGACAACTCTCAGACGAACGTTTCTATAAGAAACTGGACTCTGACCCCACTAAAGAATTCTCCACCGCCATTACCAAATCTCTTGACGATATGTTTGAGAAAAATGAGATTGGTATCAACGTCTATGAGACCTTAAATCCTATTGATTGTAGACCAGGACAATTCTATCTGCTTCCTAAAATACACAAAGAAGGCATGCCAGGTCGCCCCATAGTCAGCGCAATTGGACACCCCACGGAGAAAATTTCTGAATTTATTGATTTACATCTCCGTCCACACGTAGAGAATTTGCCATCCTATCTCAAGGACACCACGGACTACATTAACAAGACGCCCTCTACTGGCCTCCCAGATCATACCCTCCTCGTGACTATGGACGTCACATCCTTGTACACCAATATTCCGCACGATGAGGGTATCGAAGCCTGTAGAGAAGTCTGGGATAGTAGATCCATACAAATTCCTTCTACAGAGTCCCTTGCTAAGCTCCTTGAACATGTTCTCAAGTTCAACAACTTCATGTTTAATGGAGAACATTACCTGCAGGTTAATGGCACTGCTATGGGTACGAAAATGGCACCGTCTTATGCCAATGTCTTCATGGGCAGACTGGAACGCAACTTGTTACTTCAAGCACCATTTAGGCCCCATAGCTGGTTGCGTTTCATTGACGATATAGAGATGAAGTGGGTGGAATGTCGCGAGAGCCTCGAGGCATTCATTACGTTTGCCAACACCTTTCATCAGTCGATCAAATTTACAGTAGACGTATCTAATTCGAAAAACGTATTCCTAGATACTACATCTACCCTGATTGATGGTGAAATCGAATTCAGTCTCCACACCAAACCCACAGACTCCCACCTATATCTTATGCCCTCTAGCTGTCATCCCCAACACACTTTTAAGGGAGTGCCTAAGGGTCTAGCCACCAGAATTCGACGCATCTGTTCGTCCCCTGCCTTATATCAGGAGCAAAGTGGTCTTCTTAAGTCCCACTTATGCAAAAGAGGCTACAATGCCCGCACCGTACAAACAGCTATTGATGAGATGGCAGGACATGACAGGCAAAACCTATTACGCTACAAGGAGAAAGACAATAGCGGTAGGGTCCCTCTGGTAACCACATACCATCCCGTCCTTAAGAACCTTAGCGGTATCCTTCAAAAGAACCTACCAATTCTCCATTCAAACAAACGAATGGCAGAGGTCTTTAAGGAACCCCCATTGGCTGCATACAGACGCCCAAGGAACCTGAAGGACATGGTAGTAAGAACCAGACTGGACAACCCATTACCTAACGGGGGCTTTAAAACTTGCTCTGACAGAAGATGTCTTCTTTGTAAGCACAGTACTGACACAGACAGTTTTAACAGCCCCGTTACAGGCCGCAGCTACAAAATACTAGGGAATTTGTCCTGTCATACTGACAACTGCATTTATCTCATCAGTTGCAAAGTTTGCTCCAAACAGTATATTGGTGAAACAGGAGATCTCCGCAGGAGAGTCAATAACCACCGTTCGACCATTAGGACCAAAAAACTCAATGAACCCGTTGGGGAACATTTCAACCTTGAGGGTCACAAATGGGAGGATATGACAGTAGTGGTGATTGACCATAACCCAAGATGGACAGATGCTCAGAGAAAAAGCAAAGAAAAGTTCTGGATGCACAGATTGAAGTCATTCCGCCCTAATGGTATTAACAAACTAAATGACTTCACCAGAATGAACGTAAACTAGACCCAATTCCTGATGATACTAAACAAGATTATTCTCTCAATTTAGTGTAAACTCTACAGTCAATTTGCGTCACCAACTCTCGAACAACCCACATAGCTATGTATTGTTTTCGCCTTTGTTAATTATTTTTTCCCGGTAATAAGTCTTTGAATATTTCAAAATTTATAATGGATCATAATTCATATGTTTAAATATCCCTGCCATCTTATTTTTCTTTGATTATTCTTTATTAAGTAAAGTTACGCCATTTTGAGAGAATGAAACAATGTACGATTTACTGATTGTCGTAATTGATTAGCATAATTAATTCGTTCAATTATGTAAATCGCACTTCACCCGAGTATACCCGATAGACCGGACGCATTTCATAGCGGTCCGGATTTCTTTCTTTATTATTGTTCTTAAAAATTTCGAATTCAACATGTAATTTATTAAGTATGTAAATATCTAGTGTTTAGTAGCTTAGTAGTAGTGCTAGTTGTTTTTGTTTCTATTTTTCCTTTGTTCTTATGACTTTTTAACTTTTTTCTTTGTCCTGAGGAAGGGACAGGGCGTCCCGAAAATTTGACAATTTTTATTGTTCGTGTCGTTGGTCATTTTTAGTGCTTTATATATATATATATATATATATATATATATATATATATATATATATATATATATATATATATATATATATATATATATATATATATATATATATATATATATAAAGATGGCATTAAACAATTTAATTAATATAAAATATCGGAATCAATCAGTTTTGAAAGACATGAATTTATATATATGATTCACATAAGATTACATTTGTATACCAAGGATAACCCATGAAAGCCAATGGCTTATTATACCCCCCGCTTGAAAAGCGGGAGGGTATATAGTAATCAGTATTTCCGTCCGTCTGTATGTCTGTCCGTCTGTCCGTCCGTCCGTCTGTTACGCTTTGGGGTACCCATTTCTTATCCGGAACTCCTCTTATACCACTGAATGAAATTTAATGAAACTTTCACAGAATCTTTATTACATATTGCCATTGTGCACCTCTTATTTTACTTTTTGATCTGACATATATTTTGGATTTTCCAGAGCAAAACATGGATACTGCCAATATAATCATATGGGAGGCGGGGGGTATCATTTAGTGAGCTCATTGCTCACAGTACCTCTAGTTTCCAATGGGGTCCTTATACTCAAACATGTATATTAATTGGATGTTAAATAATATAAGCAGATAAATATAAAATTAAAATACTATAGCTAAGATATGGGATCAAGTTGACAACACAGAGATCCTTAAAAATATATATATATTCTATAATATATCTGATTTTGCTTTCAACAGTCTTTTTATGTAATATATTGTATTATTCGAATGGCGAGGAAATACATTATTATAGAAAATACAAGTCAAAAACGCTGTCCCTGCCTTTCTCATTGGAAAACCTAATATTTTTATTAACTTAGATGAAAAAGTTGCTTTCGTTAAAAAGAAAGGTCTTGTTTTATATCCGAGAGAATGTTTAAGTACGTACTTTATGACATACATATTTACATTTCCTCAGTACATGTATTAAGTCTCAAATATAAAGAAAATTTTATACCTTGTATATCCCAGCATCGCACAAATAACAGCAGCGTCTTTATCATCCCAGAGATCGTCACATATCGTACCCCACACACCATGATAGTAGACTTCAACTCGTCCATTTGAAGGAAAGGTTCCATTCACCAGTCTGACAAACGTGTTGTTATAACGAGTGTTTTCTAAAAAGGATGAGAATTATGCTTTTCAATTATTAATCTAATTCTGTTCCCTTTTTTATTGTGTGTTTTTTTCTGTGACAAGACTATTCTAGTAACAATACAGGGTACCAAAATATAATTAATCCTCAGAGATTTTCAGAGGTCTTACGTTTTGATGTGAATGTAAATCATTTGAATCACTTTTTTTCTTGTTGCTTATATGTGTGACACACTGTTGAAATCAATATGAACTGCACTTTTGAGAATTTTATTTTGTTGTTAAAATGTGCCATTATGATTCATCTGTATGTAATCTAAACTCTTACGATCAAAAACACCAAAATAAAGTTTTAATAAATATTTCAGAAGAAGTATTTTTGTACTTTTAAACATACAGTATTATATAAGAAATCATCATTCACAAGACGACAATAATTCAATTTTGCTTCAATCAAAGCTTATAAAAAGTTCTTTCATAGCAAATATGAACAACATAAGTCTATTAACTTTCTATTTTCCTTTCATTGAAATTCTGCCCTAGTAGTTAATTACAAATTTGAAATATATTTTACCGATGTCAAACATGCAACACATATTGGTTAAAAAAAATAAATACTGTTAATGTATTATATTTAGCGTGTACGATATTTGGCGGAAATGAAGTTTTGAACAAGTTAGCGAAGATTTGATTTAGCGTATTTCCAATAGTTCTTATTAACGTATATAACATTTAGCGTTGTACTTGAATTAGCGGAAGTGTCTTACCGCCAAAAGCACTAAAAAGAATACGCAGTCAGATGTAATACGTTTACAGTATAACATTCCATACTGTCATGATTTATGAATAGAAGAAGATTCTTGAAGATAAAAAACACCACGCAGCATTGTTAAGTCTACACAAAAAGGGGCGGGGCCTAATTCATTCTTGAAATGTTCATTCTGGCATCATTAAAAAATAGTTATATCACATAATACAAGAAAATGAAACTATTTGCAACTTGAAACTGTATTAGTTGTCTAATTAAATTTTTTTACCGCAAGGGTATAGACTTGTACTTTCGTTAACTTGAAAAGTGCTGCTTCTTTCTTTAAATCTAGAAGTTACTTAATGAGGACATATTTTACTTGGTAAAGGTCAAGCAGATCTCGATTTTAGCCAAATTGCATGAAAATATAACAAATAAACCGCGAATTCTATTGAAAGCAGCATCACTTTCCAGAAAAAACAAATGCAGAATCGATTAATAACTTCTTCTCTTTTTTTACGTATAGTATGCCCCTGCGATATTGCAATTTGTTCATGACCTCCATTCAGTACAAACACTATCCATTTATAACATGACTTTCCGTCGATTGAACCTAATTCAGTACAAAGTGGATTGTTCTATGTTATTTCAATAAGTATATGTTATATGATAATAAAACAGCTATATAAAAATTAATTTAGTTACCATTTTTACACGTCTATGTTGCGTTGACTTTCATAGAAAGCCTAAACAACGCTGCGTAGTTTTTTAATAACTAAAAGAAGCATATCATTTGTATTTAAATGGAAGAAAACAGTCACAAGGAATGAAAAACTTTCATTTGCAAATTCTTTGGTCTTTATTAACAGAGATTTCTCCATGGGTGTTTCCGATCACCCGATTGTGAGGAACAGACATGCCAAACATCTTTGAAAAACAATATCTTTGGGCGACAAAATGTGTAGTGAGGGTGCGGCACATTATGTCGCCAGCGACAATATGTACATTTTTTTATACGGCAACATTATGTATCGATGGACGAAAGAAATTGTAGTGAGGCTAGGTGCATGTTGTCGCCGACAACAAAATGTACAAAACGACAACACCTTCCATTACACATCTAAATTCATCAATTAAACGTTATTTTTTCTCTGCCAAATTATAAAAATAATTAGCTTAATAATAGATATGCAAGAGAAAAGTTTTACATTGAAATTTTCTTACTAGAACAAGAAACTCCAGCATCTTCACTGTGTGAACAGTCGTGAATTCCAAGTAAGGAATGTGAGCACATTTCAATATCAGTCTCTGTACCATTACAGCGAACATTATCAAGCCAGATCTTATCTTTCCCTTCTCCAAACAGAGCGTTAGAAAATGCACAGGCTTCTTCCCTTTAAAAAAATAAAATACTGTTTGGTAATCGTTTAATATTATGCACAATTAAAATTTTGTTTCTTTTTGCAATTTTAAAAAACTAATGAAATTAGCTAATTTCAAAGTATATTTTTATAGATTTATCGCAGAAGTTCAGAAAGTTCATTTTATTGGCATTCCTAATTCGAATTCCGAGATTCAATATCTAAATTAGACGTTCTGTCACTCAAAATTCATGTACAATTCATTTATATGACTGAACAAGGTTGGCTCATGATATTCAAAGTGTTTCACCCCCTACTTATGTGTTCGGAACATTTTATTTTTCGGTGTTCTGCACATTATAAAACCTGATGAGTTCAGAGTAACTCTGGCGAGAGTTAGGGAGACTACAACGAGATAGGGTAAATTATTCACGGAAATGTGGCTAGGAAGTGACTTGCTCGTGAAGACATGGTAAAATGAAAAGTCATGTTGCGTTTTAGTTTTTACCACCCTATAATATCTGTAGAAATGTGCTTCAATAGATCTCTCTTGAATTCATTCAAATTCAAATAAGAATTCTCTATGATACAATGTCTGCAGACTTGAATTAAAATTTCTTTAAGGACAAATATTCTTGCATGGAAACCGGGACTATATTTTTGGCGTCAGATTAGCAAATGAGGCAACCACATAACTTAAGCTGACAAATCAGCTGAATGAGAATTGCATTGTGGGCTACTACGAATACTACAGGAATTTTACGCTTGAAAGAAAAGGAAAATCTTATGGCGATCGGAAAGTTACGAAGACCACTGATTTTTCCATCCATTTCGTAAATCAAAAGCAGTTTTTTACAAATTGTATTAATTTCATAATCTTGTTAAAATAACGGTGGAAATCTATGTTTCTAAAAGTCATGTTGCAATTGAAAGCGATTGGTGTCTTTTAATGAGTCTTTTTGTACTATCGGTGAATACAATTGTTAGGTGGATTCCTCCCTGGCCAAACTCGTGATCACGAGTATAGTTATGTAAAAACTGTTTTGTCCATTTAAATGCACAAGAAATGCTGCTCGTTTTCCTTACCTTTGTTGAAGCGCTGGTGTTCTGAACTTGACACAAAGTACATTTTTTAAAATATAATATTGTGTAATTAACAGATTAAAAACGCCCGTGACATCTTTTATACTTTCTAATCTTTGTATTTTGTTCATAGGAACATTTTTTTTTTCATTTTGCACTCCACTGACATGATCATAGATTGATCTGAACCACGTATTTGAAGTTAAATGTAAACATGTATTTGGCGTAAACGTTGCTATTTAACGATTGGTCATTGCTGGTGGTAAGATTCTCTGTGCGTATTGATAACAATAGCCATATAAGGCAAACGAAGGTTTGTCAGTGTATTTTTACCAGCGTAACGGTCGCAGGTGTGCTCTAATTTTTACCGTAAATTATGATAAGACATATTGTTATTTTAACTCCCCCCACCCCTTGAGCCACCATTCTCTGTTGAAAATCATGAAAGTCTTTCAGAAAAGTCTTGAAACTTTTTCCACAGGACATTTTTTCAAAAGAAAATATGATTTCTTTCGTTTGAGGAAAGAATTAGACAGAAATCAATTTCTACTTGGTGTGATAATGAATTGCTTTTTCGCAATTACAAGGTTTCATGGGCCTTTCAACTGCCGCTGGGGTTCGCTGTTATAAACGATAACTCGTTGCTTAATCTTGTTTAGAGCAGGTCCTAGGTATAGACAGGTCAGTTTTTAGCATGTCCCAAATGTTTCTCTGCTGTCAGTAGAATCCAGTGGTTTTAAAATTTAGCACTAATGTTAAACTTATTCACTATATAGTTGCAGACACCGTTAAATTACATGCAAGTAAAATTTTTAATTAAAATAAAAAAGTGAAGTCTACCCTCCTTCGTAGTTTTAACCTAATTTAATGTTTGTACTTAGTCTTTCTTCTTTGTGCTTAGTAACACAAGTAAGATAATTAATTGCTGCATTTACTCGTAAAAATATATATGTTTATATAGTAAGCGCAAAAGCGCGAAAACAAAAAACATGACATTATTTTTTATTCTTTATAACAATCGTGCAAAAGAGTTTAAAATGTTGAATATAGTCTGCTCCCCATTCATTTGACTGTTATTTCAGGTAGAGTGAAGACATTCTTCTTCTTTTGGTCAACACTTTTATGTACAAAGCATGATTTAATTAAAGACGTGCATAAGTTATTATCTTTTTTGATAATTTCATGTACCTATAAATCAATCTCTGAAATGTTTTTTATTATATGTGCAACTTGAAAAATTGAAGGCCTAGTTTTCATTCGAATACCTGGTGAATATCACGTGGTTCTTTAGATTAATTGATTGTATATTGTTTAAGGTCCCTCTCGAGAATTTTTCACTCATATGGAGACGCCACCACTTGTCGGTGGAGGGCTACAAATTTTGTCCTATGCTCGGCACTCAGGGCCTTTGAGCAGTGAGGGATCTTTTTCGTGCCAGCACCTACTGCGACACGGGGCCTCGGTTTATACGGTCTCATACAAAGGACCGGTCTCCACGTCCTGCAGTGGGATTCGAACCCGCGACATAAGGATTGACTCCTTACTTCGCGACTCTAGAGCAGACGCTCTAACCACTGCGCCACGCGGACCGGTCTCGTTAGGAAGGCTATATAAGTGGTGAATAGTGGTTTAAATACCAGTTTAGGACGACACGTAGAGCACGATAAAGTTTAAATCTCAGAAGCCGAACGAAGTAGCGTAGGGAGACGTTCATCGACATGTTTTAGCCATTGTAGATAAAATGTAATTACAGAAAATAGAGTTGAAGAGAGATTTGACAGTGTGGAAAACGATGTCATCAAAGAAAAGCCATCTTAAAGCTTGTTTTTATAAGATAAGTATTCATTTGAGAATACAATTGATCTGTTTTTGAACAAGTACTAAATTAGTTATAACAAGGTTTGTAATATAGAGAATTTGAAAACAAATACATGATTGTTTAAATTATGAGATTCGTTAATTCTCGTTAGTATATCATGGTTTAATTCTTGATTATTTTATATTTTGATAAATATTTTATCTTTGCTATGATAATAGAAGTTATTTCCAGAAATAGATAATTTGTTTTGTAGAAAGATGGATTTGTTCAAGGAAGAAAACTGATGTTTCTGAAAATCAAAACAAATACGTTACGATAATTTATTTTATTTTTCAATTAATGCAAGTTTAGTATAGAATTTATAAGATTTTATATTTGCACTTATATCCAATTAGCTTATCATTTTAAAATGTCCTAAGTGCATCAGCATTATAACATGGACATTTCTTGAGTACAGAAAATATCGAAGACTTAAAATTTATTTTTCAATTTCAGTTTCTTGCCATTTTGTCAAATGTGCTACTAAAATGAAAAGGTTTAGATATGTTGAAGATAAAACAGTATATTTTTATGTTTCAGGTAGTTACATGTTGGGGTTGGTATCACGATGAGTATATAATGAAGAATGTGATTTTTAAGATCTCTAGAGAAGTACGGTAGATTTTTTTCCTTGCGTGTTATGCCAATTGAAAGTTAAATTCAATGCGGACTCCGTCACAAAGGAAAAGAGAAACATTTCATATTCTGAACTTTGAATATAATAATTTGTTTTTCGATTTATTTTAGTAGATTATTCGATCAAGAATCCGTAAAGTAGAGTATGGGGCCTAGACATTTTTGTTTGGTATCTTTTAACCAAGTATATGTGTTGATGACATACAAACTTTATAGAAAAAAACGAGGTATACTTTTCTTTAGATTAATGCAGGACAGGTACGGCATTGCGTTAGAGGATTAAAGGTTAAGAATATTTGCATTTTTATTTTCATTATAGTTAAATTAAGGTCTTTTTGGGATTGAAAATTTATTAATTGAGTATTGATTTATGAAAAAAATGGTCAAGATGGTATAGAATATTTATATGAATGATAATTTTGCAATATTTGCGGTGTTGTTAATTGGCTTGATTGAGTTATCTAGAAAAAGAGATCTTAGTATTTAGTTCCAAAACTAAAAAGTTTTGATAACAGAAACTGAATTTTTGTCGGTTTTGATTTTCGAGTAAAAAAAAAAATTGTCAATGAATTCTAATTTTAAAAATGATTCACCAAAATTGAATTCATTTTTTTTTTAAATTAATATCATGAGCTGTTTTTCACAATTTTCGTGTTTGGTAGTGTTTGGAAGATTTGATTTTTGATAACGTTGATATATTTCATTTTATAATGAAATGATTTAATGAATGTTTATTAATTGGCAACCATTTTACTTTTATTGAAATTAGTTTTCAGTGGAAAGTGGTTTCTATAATATTGAGCTATTTAAAAGCTGTTATTTTTTAATTTAAAACAAAAATAGAATTTGACTCTTACCCAGCTTAACATAAAATATTTTATAGCTCTTTGTCATAACACATCTGTGGTGTTTTGCTTTTGGCGGGATTGATTTCAGTCGACAATGAGAAGTGCAGAAATAGTCAAATGAAAATTAATATTTCTGTTTGATTTGATATTGAATTGGTTTTTGAATTTGAATAAATTTGGCACATTTTAGCATATCATGCTTTCATGAATATTTTCCAACCACTTTTATGGTATTGTCAATTGACAATTTATTAAAGATTGCTTTCATTATATTGCTGATAATATGAAATGGAAATTGATTGTATTCGAATGCTTTGCACATTTAATCATAAAATGATGGTATAGATGTTTATCCAACTACATTTGTGCTGTTGCAATTTGACGTTGTTTAATGTAGATAGTGGGTTCTATATCATACGAGTTTGAATTTATGGATGTTTATTCAACCGCATTTGTGATGATGCCATTTAGTAAGATAAGTTTCCGTAGAAAGTGTTTCTTAGCATAGAGTAAAGTAAAAGTTGACAATTTTTATGAAAGCAAAGTAAAATTTGATTGGAACTTGAAGTATTTTGATAAATTTATCACATAGTATGAATTTATGGATG